GGTAGTATGTATGGTAAATAGCTGTACCTTCTGTTCAATTTTGCTGTGACCCTAAACTGCCCTAAAAATAAGTCTGTATTTTTAAACCATATTATACAGGACTTAGTATATGTAACGTGCTTAATTAATTATCCAACTCAAAAAAGTTTATATTTTCTATTGTGTAATGTATCATATCTTCTGCTGTCTAGCTATCATTTTCACGACAGTAGAATGTCTCTCAAACACATTCTACTGAGAGAATTGTGACCTAGGCAAGAATTATGAAACAAGAATTCCACCAAAAGAAGGCAGTGCTGAGCAAGAGAAAGAACCCATTTGAGTGAACCTTGATGTAATGATCATGGCACTAAAGATGCTAATGGGAGCCAGTTCCTCTGTGAAGGCAATTTTACAAACTGCAATTTTTGGCCATTCTTGGGAAATACTACTCAGACCTCAGGCCCCTCTGAGGAGCTTCTGTGTGTATCACATAGATCCTCCAGCAGCTATGTATGGTGGACGACACACGGTGACCATGATTCCCGGAGATGGCGTTGGGCCTGAACTTATGATGCACGTCAAGTCTGTGTTTAAATATGCGAGTGTGCCCGTGGACTTTGAGGAAGTGCTGGTGAACTCCACGTCTAGTGAAGAGGAAGTTCACAACGCTATCATGGCTATCCGTCGAAACCGTGTGGCTTTGAAGGGCAACATCGAAACCGATCACAACCTGCCACCTTCTTACAAATCCCGCAACAGTATGCTTCGCACCACCCTAGATCTCTATGCCAATGTCATTCATTTCAAGAATCTGCCAAACGTGCAGACCCGGCACAAGAACATAGACATCTTAGTTGTTCGGGAAAATACAGAGGGCGAGTATAGCAACCTGGAGCATGAGAGTAGGAAAGGAGTGATTGAGAGTCTGAAGATCATTACCAAGGCCAGTTCTATGCGCATTGCTGAATATGCCTTCCAGCTGGCCCAGAAGATGGGGCGTAAAAAAGTGACAGCTGTGCACAAGGCCAACATCATGAAACTGGGAGATGGACTCTTCCTCCAGTGCTGTCGTGAGGTGTCATCCCGCTATCCTCAGCTCATCTTAGAAGGCATGATTGTGGACAATGCTACCATGCAGCTGGTATCCCGACCCCAACAGTTTGATGTCATGGTAATGCCCAATCTTTATGGCAACGTCATTAACAATATCTGCACAGGGTTGGTTGGGGGGCCTGGCCTGGTACCTGGAGCCAACTATGGTCGCTTATATGCAATATTTGAGACAGCTTCAAGGCATACGGCCAAGAATTTAGCTCACAAGAATATCGCCAACCCTACGGCCATGCTGCTGGCAAGTTGCATTATGCTGGATTACCTCAAACTCCATTCCCATGCCACCCGCATTCGTACTGCAGTCTTAGAATCCATAGGCAATAAAAATATCCAGACCCCAGACATCGGAGGCCAGGGTACCACGTTGGACATCATTCACAACATCATGGAAAACGTTCAAGGTTTCAAGTAGATGATCAGTGCCTTGGAATCTGTTATTACCCAAAGTCCTTCCTATCTTCCTCTTTACCCATTCACCCGCCACACCTAATCCTTGCCAGCAAGGCTAATGTACAGAATAAACCATCTGTTCCAATTCAGGAGAAGAAGTGCATCAAGACTGATTTTTCCCCATTAAATTAAAATTCCATAAACATTGCTTATTTAAATTAGACAAACCTATTGCATTGTAAACGATTTGTGGACATTCTTTCTATTTTAATCAGTGATTCTCACCTCTCTATGAATAAATCAGAGCTGTTTGTGCAATCCAAAGGGCTTTCCCAGGACCTAGTGCACTGATTTTCTTTTATCTGTGTCATTAAAATTCAGTAAACCAGCCTACAGAGAATCTGTTTTTTTTCTCTCTAGAGGTTATTAATGAGCTAATTAGTGCAATAAACTTTGCCTACAAAATATACATTGTAACTTTAATAATAAATAAAGTAACATAAAGCTGAGCTAGTGCAGAATGCTTTCATTCCTTCCTCAATATCCTCCTTTTCCATGGTGTTGTTTAGGACGTTTATGTGATAAATTTTCTCTGTGTTCTTTTGCACACATGAAAATTGATGGAAACTGCAGCTCCCCCGGAAAAGGGATTTTTAAATTTCTTTCAGCTCAGCTCAAGAGTGTAGAAGTCAAATCTCTACAATCAGAGTCCACAATTCTTGATATACAAATGAAACCATGGATTGCAAACTCCGTGCTCAGTGCTTCATAATTTCTTTTGGTCCACTTTTAAACTTGCTATCAAAGAAAGCCCTGAACTAATCTAAATATTTGCATCATTTAATTATATTTTATTTACAGTATTTTAAAGGTCATAGTTGGGAGACATGCAAACAAAATAATTCTATTAGTACATAGAAATTGTTATTACTCAAGGAAAATGTAAAAACACAATGATTATGAAAACTGATAGTAGTTTTATCAGCAGGATAGAAATAAGAGTGAGAAAAGCAGTGGATTCTGCATCCTGTATAATCTGTGGATCTTACCATACTTCACATAGCACAAGCTAAAGACACTTTTTTTTTCAGCCTCTGTGGTCTCCAGGAGGCTCCAGTTGAGTTGAGTGCCCTTGATCTCACTTAACCTAATTATATACAAAGTCAGGCCAGAGTTTGGAAAATGGAAAGTTAGTTTAAGGAGATTTAGTTTGAGGAGAAATCAATTACCTTCAACTCTATCTAGAAGACTTTTTAGAAGAATAAGGCAAGCAGGAAAGAGTCAATTGGAAGATAACCATGGTAATTGCATGTATTGCACAATTAGACCATATCCCTTGCCAGGATGGATGCCACTGTCCTCCTGTTGCACCCACCTCTGGGCAGCTCTAGACCTTTGTGAGTAGTTCTTTAACAAGTGGATTTTAGTATGAACCCCACCCCACCCCACCCTAATCCCTAAACCTTAACTCACCCTACCCAATTTGTACCCCCTTTTCTCATGACTAGGAGAAATGATTCATGGCACAACTAGCCCAAGTGCAGACAGTGACCCAGCTGTCAGCTTCCACTTAGCAATGGGAGTTTATGGGCCATTTGAGCCCAAGTTTTCCTCTATGAAGAATGGCCATCTCCAGAATCCTCTCAAGACAGTTGTGATGACACCTGGCACACAACAATGGCACTTTCTATTGCCATTGTTAGATTTTCCCTCTTAGCTATGAATGTCCCAAGGGATAATATCATGTATGTTTTTACTTGTCCTCTGTCATCTCTAATATAATTACTGTACATGCAATGTAAAAAATAAATGTGTGTTTGTTGAAGTAATCAGGAAATGAATGTTATGGTTGATACTGCCTCGCTTTTCTTATTTGTGAAGTGAGAAAATAACTGTACCTATGCCGAAGGGTTGTTGAGAACATGGAGTGAGAAAATGTACTTTAAGCTTATAACATTGTGATAAGTGCTTGTGTTTTTCTTTTTCTTTTTTTTCTTAGCATTACTGTATTTGTCCCTGATGTGATTTCTTCCTGTACATCTATTCTTTGAATTCAAAGTTGTTTGTCGCTGTCCACCTTTTCTCCTACTTAAGTGCATACCATCAAACCATGGAAAATTCAGTGTATGTGGACATGGTCATGAGTGTCCTGAGACCCGAGAACTCTTTCAGTTCTGAACTAAAGGTCAACAAAAAATATCACTTTAAGGTGGATCATGATGAAAACGAGCACCAGTTATCTTTAAGAATGTCAGTTAAAGGTCAGGTACAGAGGATGAATTGCACATTGTCAAAGCAGGGGCAATGGATTATGAAGGCATCCAATCCAAGTAACATTGGCAACTTGGACAAGGTTTGTACAGCTAAGGCTTCCCTTGGACTCATGTGGTCTTATGTTTGAAGTGTAGTTCACAGCCTGTGCCTATTAATGACAAACAACACTGAGTAGTCCTCAGGAAGCTGCAGAATCAGAAGGTGAAGAGGAGGAGGAATATAAAACTCTTATGCACATCTGGGAAGCAATCTAGCCCTGTAAATGGCAGCAAGTTTCTACAGAAAAAAGTAAAACTTACTACAAATGAAGAAGGTGGTGGTGGTGGTGGTAGTGGTGGTAATTTTGATGAAGAGGGAAATTGAAGACCCATCTCTGTTGAAGAAATCTACATGAGATACTCCCACCCAAAATGCACAGAAATCAAACCAGAGTACAAAAACACAAACATTAACACAAACATTAAAAAAAAAAACAAGTTCTGAAACATGAAAAGGACCTAATTCTGTAGAAGACATTAAAGCAAAATGCAACCAAGTATAGAAACAGGTGGTTCTCTTCCCAAAGTGGAAGCCACGATCGCCAATGACGGAAGTTGCTTCCAGAGCAGGAGGCAACTCAAGACATCTGGCAGTAGAGGAAGTCTCTTTCAGAAAACAGTTAAAACAGTTTGTTAAAATTTTCTGATTTCTGTAACAGTTGATATTTGGCTGCCCTTTATATTTCCAAGTGAGAACTTACCCTACCATGTTTGATACATGTCCAGGTTCCCTTGCCAGGAATGTGTTGTTTTATTTTTAAAGATGGAACTCCACCTTTTACTTTGTTTTAAGAGTATCTGGAGTGCTAGGATAGGACATAGTTGTACTATGGTATAACCATCATAGCTGACCACCATCGTTGTGGTCAGGCATGGAAATGGCAGTGAGACAAAAATATACATGTGAAATAAACAGCATTTTAGTAACATGAAAATATCAACTATTATCCATATATGAAGCATTCTATTTTTATACATTACCTACCATTCTAATGTTACTCCTGAAGAAAACTGGTTCAATTACATTATTGCATTACAGATTGTTGGTTTGTAGTCAGCTTTCAACTAGGGAATCAAATCATTATAAGTGCTCTTACCCTCTCTCCTTTTTATTTCTTGAAACCAGTAGTTCCTCTTTCCCTGATGCCTCCTTTCTCATTAACCTTTCTCATCACTGGAAACTTCCCAGTTTTTCTTGCTGCAAGTATAGACCTCTAACTTGGGTCACGCTTGCCATTGAGTCTCCTTCAGTCTATTTTCTACAGTGCACCCAGCATGATCTCTCTGAAAAGCAACAGACTCAAGTCACTTCCCTACTTAAAAACCCTCTCTGAAAAGCAACAGACTCAAGTCACTTCCCTACTTAAAAACCCTCATTCGGGGCTTCCTTTGTCCTTTAGAGAAAGTCAACTGAGCACACACAATACTGTACAGTACATTCCTGGCCAATAAGAGTGATAGAGTCATTGATTGCTGGAGTCCCTGAACCTAGGACAGAGACAGGCTCTTTTTCATGCTTACTCTAAATACGAAAGGAAGGAAGGGAGTAAAGAAAGAAAGGAAGGGCAGGCTTATGTTCACAGGACTGGGGAACTGACTTTAGTATGTCAACCTTTCTTTACAAAATCCTCCTCTCTAAATAATACTGAACCCTTGAGGCAGTAAAACAGGTGGTTGGCAGGCTGTCTCTGTTTCCTGAAAAGATTTCTTCTGTTCTAAATTCATTGGGTCATTTCATCTTATCCTTTATCAGTTTACTCAGAGTTGTTTATGGTCCTAGTGTTCTAAGGAATAGCCACAACAAGTTGTCTGACTTTTTTCTGAATTAATTCTTTACTCAGGCTCTATTTGGCCAATGACTTTACAATTCACTCAGCTGCTGAAGTTCCATACCTGATGTTCATCTCAGCTGTGTCACAGGAGCCTTGTAACACTGGATAGGTTGCTTAAAACACTTATCTCCAGTTTGCTCCTGTTTCAGATAAAAGGGATAAAAGGTAAATGTCTACCTTCATGGGATTCTTATAGAAAATTAAATAACATTGCTTTGGTTATCTATTGCTGCATAACAAACCTCCTCAGAACACAGTGGTTTAGAACAGTGATTATTTACCATGTAGTTTAATCAGGTGGTTATTATTACCATGAGTCTCAGGATGGCTTGATATTGATGGCTATTAGTCAGGAGCCTCCATTCTTCTCCACATGACTGGCTAATGCACTTGTTTTGTTTCTTCCTAGTGTAGCACCTAGTTTCTTTTTCTTTTTTTTTAAAAATATTTTACTTTTCAATTGTAGTTAGACACAATACCTTTATTTTATTTTATTTTATTTATTTTTATGTGGTGCTGAGGATCGAACCCAGGGCCTCGCATGTGCTAGGCAAGCACTCTACAACTGAGCCACAACCCCAGCCCGTAGCACCTAGTGTCCAAGGAGCAGAGACCAGGGCTGTGGATCTCTTAAAGCCTAGTCTTGGAAGCTTTTAATACCATTTCTACCACACGTCATTACTCAAAGCAGGCAATAGAGGCAGAACAGGTATAAGAATAGGGAAAATAAATGTCCCATCTTGACAGGATAATGACGAGGCCACTTTGCAAAGGAGTCAGAAGTACTATTGTTACGGCCATTTTGGAATCATAATCTATTATTATGAAACTATATTTAAAGCTATGTCCAAAGCACCTGCCACATTGGGCCTTGCTTAAGCAAAGAAAACTACTATCTTTGACTTCTCCCCCTTTCATTTTGTCTAGTTTCACTGTCAATTCTGCCACATAATGTTCCCTGTGTTGATGCCTTTTATTCCATCACATTTCTTCTGGGTTTATATTGTCTCCAGGACTATTTAAAGAGTTATATAACTGACTTCAAATTTGACCTCCTTCGTTCCATATTTTGTCTTGTACTAATTTTTTTCATCTATGTGACTTTTGCCTCAATACGTTATATGCTACTTGAGGGTAGGAAATATATTTAACCAATGTTTTGGGCCTTGTATTACCCAGCATAGTTCTTGCATAGTAGGTATAACTTCATAATTAAACACATTCCAAAGTGGATTTATTATGGTAATTA